AAATCTTTCCTTATACGAGTATTAATAGTTCAAACTCTTTATATTCAAACTTTTTATATTGAACGCGGCCCCATTTTATTTTATATTTTATTCATATTATCACTTGTATATGCAGTATGTGTATGAATGACGTGTATGTGTGTATATGTATAGTATTTTATATTTACTCGAAACAAGTGTCATGCACTTATCGAACTACGTATTTGCTCATTTGCTCAATTAATAAGAAAAGTTATTCTATATTTGTATTTGTAAATTGAACAAATAAAGCAATTTATTGATATTGATATATTTTGAGAAGATAGTATAAGCTTAAAGGGGTTATATTTTTAGGAGTGATTAATTTTTGGGAAAGGAAGTTTTTGGCTTTCTACTACTCCATCTTGATAGAGAAAAGTCTGTTCTATATAATTCAGTGTTCATACAGAAGTATTTGTTTCGAAAGATTTTTTTTCTTTCGTGTAATTCGATGTTTACATGAAAGTAGCTGTTTCAGGAGGACTTTCTTTCAGTTTGTGTCTGAAAGTCACTTCTTTGCATGATCTACACATCCATGTATAGAGTTACTTATTTTGGAAGATTCCCTCATCCTTGTTTTTTGTATCAAGATGGAGTAGTAGAAAGCCAAAAACTTTCTTTCCCAAAAATTAATCACTCCTAAAAATATAACCCCATCAATTTAAATAAGATTCCTCTTGGCTGGGATTAAATCAAATAGGTGAATGAATGTCATTACGATGTCATCGATGACATAAGCAGATCAAGCTTATTCTGTGACATTCAAAATCGTAATTCATGAATGAATTGTGTGTATTTTCTATAATGTTATCCAGTTTGGTACTGAAGAGCCTTGGGGCAAGTGTCTTAAGGCGAAACATCGATGTATACCAATGAGGATGACAGTGTTCCATGTAAGTGCAATTTGTTACCATTCATTTAAAGTAGAACTCATGTGAATGATATCTGATTTTTATTCCACAACGAATGTTTGAAATACAAACTGAGTAGAGAAAAGTATCTTCTGTATAATTCAGTGTTCATATAGAAGTATTTTTTTCGAAAGATTTTTTTTCTTTCGTGTAATTCAATGTTTATATGAAAGTAGCTGTTTCAGGAAGACTTTCTTTCAGTTTGTGTCTGAAAGTTACGTCTTTGCATGATCTACACATCCATGTATAGAGTTACTTATACTTCCTTCCTTTCTTTGGAAGATTCCCTCATCCATTTTTGTATCAAGATGGAGTAGTAGAAAGCCAAAAACTTTCTTTCCCAAAAAAATATTTGTGTTTATCAGTAATAACAATGTGTCCTCTAGCTAAAGGTACGCGAACCGTTTATTCCCTGCTGAGTCCAGTGTGTGCAATAACAATGCAGAAACAGAAAAATAATTCTACGCCTGCAATTGTAACGTTTCAACTACAAGCACCTACATCTTCAGCCAGATTTTACGAACATTTCCATATCTCTGCGCAGGCGTATTACGGTCGCAAATACATCGCCATACTCGCCGTCAGTTTGTTGTTGTCGACTCAGTGAAGCGTCATTTGAGGCAAGAAGACATTTATCAAACCAGAAAACCATTCGAGTCAACATCCTGGTGAGTCTTCTTCTTCTATTGAAATATTTCAATTCGTTGTCAATATCGATAAAACGCAATTCCGTGACCTTCGATAAAAATGTCAGCCCTCCCACATACAATCTACAAATGATCTCTTACTCTAGGCAGTGTGGCAGCGTTGCCAGACATTTGCTGCGTCACTTTAATCAGTACTGTACACGCACTTACGAACAATTTATATAAATGTACTCACTTGTAATCACGGCCAGACAGTGATTAGTGTTTGAGATTGGTTGAGGATTTAACAAACATGGTATTTATGTCGGAAATGTTCAGGTTTCTGATACCGAAACCATATGGATGCCGTTTCTCTTGGGTTTGAAAGGTTTCAGGTTAGATGCTAATCAAAATGGCGCAACCAAAATGGAGGCTTTTGGTATAAAAGATTAATAGTTCTTTAATGAACGATAATGATGTTGAAGTTAATTAATTCTAATAGATTTTACTGAAAGGTCACTTTTTTGGGAAATTGTCGATTTTAACAATTGACTGAGCAACATGTTGAAAAACATGCAAAATAAGTATGACGCTCCTCAAAATATGTGCAAATGTTCAATCAATTCGTATTGAGCCCTATAAAAATGTATTCGGAGGATTTTACAGTAAAAAACTACGGTTTATTACATAACAAATCGCGTAGCTGCTGTCGTGCTTCATTAAAAGTATTGAAAACAATGAAAAAAAATTATTTTTCATTTTGTTGCATATAGCTGTTCTTAGAATTACATTTACTTTAACAATTTTTTAAAAAGAATAATCCTAAATTGTTTATAACAATTTTTTGTTAATAAACAATTTGATTATAATTTATTAATTAACAAAAGCATAACTTCTCCTAACAAAATCCCAGGTGCTCTCCATTGGCTGAAACATCTACAGAGACAGAGGTTAGATTACCCTGAATACTGCAAATATTGAATCCCCCTCGTAATTTTTCTAAATGTTTTGCTAGGCATACCGCCAGGAACAGCTACTACTTTGAAGAAATCTATTCAAAACCCCATTGCTTATAAACACCTTGATAATTGCTTATTACCTCCTTCTACGTATTGAGTCAACAGAAGTAACCTGAAGAATGTTCCGAAACGTTCTGCCAACACCTCGGAAAAAGTTTCCTGCTAACAGTATACTCATAAAAATATTTACAACAGGATCACCAATCTCCTTTCATCATGACTCATCAGTCATGATGGATCGTAAAAGCCTTTGTCCTCGATTCGACGAACCTTCTATCTCTCTCCGCGGTCGAGGTGATTTAGAGGTCAATTATAAATAACTCGGTACCGCGCAGATGTAACACTGGCAACGCCGCGAAACGTGGAGAGCGGGGCTCATAGCTCAGGGGAAATTAATGCCAAACAACGGTCTCCGGTTCTCTGTTGGGATGGGATTTGGCTTGGTTAATGCCTGCAGCTGTAGCTCCTAAATGCGAAATCATGCGACCGTTCTATTTAGGAATATTGTGGGTTCTCATGGCTGTGGATCAGTGTTGCAAGGCAAAGAAAAGATACCACGTATTTCAGAACCGTTCGGAATGTAGGTTATAACTTGATGGGATGCTGAAAAAATGTTAGGCTTTTCAACGGATCAGATGTTTGGTACAACCAGAGCTAATGAAGAAGGTGGAATTTGCTGGCGGATCATAATAAATAACGCCAGTGGCGGTGTTGGAAATGGTATAGATACATTAGTTTTTATGTTGTGTTTGTTGTTTTTTGCGAATATCTCGTTTCCTATGAGTTTTTTGCTATTTCTATTGATCATCATTATTGTAGAGGATTAAATTCCCTACAACTTTTGTTCCAAAAATTTTTTCAAACGTTGAATTGTTTTCGAGATAAAGAGCACAGAGCGCGCGATTAGAGCATCATATAAGGTCAACTAGTAGTCTCGATCAAAAACACGCCATATATAGTTTATTAAGTATTGATGAATATATATTTCTCAATCACTTTCAATTCTAATTAACTTGCTGATTAACTATTTTAACACTTACCTGCCTGTGTGGTTATAGAACTGTTGAGGAAACTACTTAAAATAAATTTAAATTCTGCTGTAATTCATTCTGATAACTTCTCAAATGAATAGAAACCAAAAAAAAAATCTCAATTTATGTTTTCACGACATTTATGATTGAGGAAATTTAAAAAATGGAATCAAAATGACAAGAACTTTCAATTTCTATTATCTTCTTCTTCATCGTCGTCTTTCGACCGTTGTACTATTGTTCTTTTCTTTATCGTCTTCAACAGCATTTGTCTCCAGGTCTTATATGATTTTGGGGTCAAAGATTCTGTCTTCATTAACATCACTCTGTCCGTTACACTGGCCACAAGCTGAAGAGCAACTGCAATTCCGTTTTCCTGCATCCACATCACGAACCACAACCACTTGTGAGCAATTCCTGTGGAGCAGGTACTCAAATTGTGGTGTTCCAAGAATTCGTTACGCATTGTCCAACCACTTTCCAGGGGTTCCAAACCTTGGCTTAACCAAGTTTGAACTTGATAATAAACACGATTTAAATGCTGGTGAGCTGTTACACCATTCTCAAATAATTTTTGAACCGGGCAGTTTTCTTCTTCGAAAGCTGCTGCAAATTGATCCAAATTCGCCAGTTTTTCAAATAATTTTTTAACCAGACAACTTTCTTCTTCGAAAGCTGCTGCAAGTTGATCCAAATTCGGCAGTTTCTCAAATGCTTTTTAAAACGTTTTCTTTGTCTTTTAAAAAGCTCAGAAGTCGTAACACTTGATGCGTGCAGGAACAAAATGGGCTTTTTTAAACGAGGAGACTTATCAAAACTTTCGGAAGCGTACATTTTTGTTTTTACATTTCCTTTGCCGTGCCTAATGTACGCCCAATTAAAATGACAAGTCATCTGTGCTAATTTCACGTCGTTAAAACTTTTGCCAAGAAGCAATGCTTTATTTATACACGAAAATCATTTTCATCCGTTTTATTCAACCAAGAAAATTTGCTTCACTGAAAATGTTCTATCCCACAAACTAATAGTCCGACAGCTGTGAAATTTTAACACGTGTCTTTTGAAGGTGAGGGTTGACTAATAATCATATGGATTTAATACCAGTAGCGACATCTATGTGTTAACCTACGAACGATTCAGTCCGTCTAGTATATTGTGTAGCAATCCTGTGAATGATATCTGAATCAATTCTATAACGAATGTTTGGAGTACAAACTGAATAGGAAAAAGTGTTTTTCGTATAATTCAAAGTTCATATGAAACTAGTTGTTTGAGAGGGCTTTTTCATCTTTGTTAAGAGATTACTCTGAAATCATCTTTCTTCTTTTCTTTGGAAATTTTCCTCATTCATATATTTTGTTTATCAAGATGGAGAAGTAGAAAACCATAACCATATCTACAAGTGTTTTTAATGAATAATACAGTTCATTATAACCTTAAAATTACTTTTGAAATCGTTATAGTCTTCTGAAAGCAACAAATGTGCAGACTTGAAAAATAAATCGTAATACTTCTAAAAACTTCCACAAAGTAACTTGTCTTCGAAAAAAGATCCCATCACTGATATAGTTTGCTCCAGGAATCCCGGGTGAAAATGTTGGAAATTGGCCCTCAGTTCCTCCAGAATTTCCAGTAGTAATTGAAGGTTCAAGGTTGAATTTATCAGCGTAGCCGGCTCAGCGCCAGTTTCTGCTTCGTTCGTCGTTTTGGGGTAGAATAAGGGAAGCCACCCTTTGCGTTGCCGTGGAAACGAGCAGCTTGGGATTATTTGGAGTACTGGAAACGTGGCGGAAAAAGGAAACGAGAGGATTTTCCTGTTTCGTCGGTACCCACTGTGAACAAACGGGTTACTTGATCGATAGTTTTCAAAATAATTAATGTGATGCAAGTGAGCACAACGAAACTCAAATAAAACTGAAAATATGCAAACTGATGTTTCCATCAAAGTAAATGACTCTATTATGCAATGTAAATTTATTTAATAATTATTTTATTAATGAACCAAAATATATTGTTGATAAAATAGATAACAATGGCCCAAACTTTGATTATTTCTTTCAAAAAGTAAGAACAATTCCTGGTTCATTTTTTCTAACACCTTTTGTTGAAGTAGAACTCTGAGTTACTGCGACGAAAACTCAAAAATAAATGTTCTTCGGGTAATGATGAAATACCAATGTTTCTCATGAAAAAAACTTTGCATGTTTTATGTAAACCGTTGCTGTTCTTGGTAAACCTATCTTTTTCTATTCTTCGATTTCCGAACATGTTGAAAATTGGTAAAATAACGCCAATATTTAAGAAAAAAGATAAACTTTCACTAAGCAACTACAGGCCAGTTACAGTCCCCTCTAGTTTCTCAAAAATATTATTTTGCTTTTCTTGAAAGACTTCTTCAATTTTGTTACTATCATAATATTTTCTCTAGAAATCAGCATGGTTTTCTTAGAGGCAGGTCAACTACAACTGCGGTCCATAGTTATTATAACGAGTTACTTCAGAATATTGAGGCGTGCGAATGTCCTGTTGGGATCTTTTGTGATCTCAGCAGGGCATTCGACTGCGTAAATCATTCTATTCTGCTCTGAAAGCTGTTGGTACGGTTGGTACTCTGCTAATCATTTATTCCTCAATATGGAGAAAACAAATTCTATGAGGTTCCACCTTCGTCAAAAAAGATGTGAGGATATTGAGTTTGGATTCGATAACACACATATTTCCACCAAGAATAATTCGATCTCTTTCCTAGGCTTTCATTTAGATCAACATTTATGCTGGGAGAATCACTGTCGCATTCTAATATCTAAAATGAACTCAATATCATACCAATTCAGAACTACTAGGGAAGTTCTGCATATGAATCAACTCATTTCTTTATATTACGCCCAAATCGATAGTCGATTGTGGTATGGTATCTGTTTCTGGGGTCTATCCCCATGCTCCAAAGATGTTTTTTGGCACAGAAACGAGTCTTACGTTCTCTTGTCAACATATCAACTCGAACTAGCTGCAAGCAATTTTTTCAAAAATATAAGATCTTAACACTGGTGCTGTCTATTTTGATTTTCGAACTATCAATATGGTCTTTTCAGCAGAGAGATACCTTACTCCAATATAAAACCAAACATCACTTCGAAACTCGCCAAAAAATTATTTACCCGTACCATTTAATAGACTCAATGTATCTTTGAAATCGCCCCAATCTATGGCACCCAGAATTTTCACTAAGTTACCAGGTGAAATAAGAAATATAAAAATTTTTAATACTTTCAATAAACGTCTGCGGGACTTTTTAACTCTGGGAAATGTCTGTGTAGTATTGAAGAATATTTGTATCTGTAAATATTTGTATGGTGCGTTAACTTTTACTTATATTTTTAATGTTTGTATGTTGCTATAAGTGATTAGACGTAAGTATATTCTGACTATTCCTATACAATGTAAATTGTCGATTGGAAAATAAAGAATCGAATTGAATTGAATTGGAATCATCGGATAGGGTTTATTTTATTCCATATACAGGCTGATTCACGGTGGATGGCACATTAGACGTTTCTGGTGAACCAGACAACGGATCTACGTGTTACCGTTACCGTTACCTATCTGTTACCGTTTTCGAAATAAAAATTAATTTCAATTTTTTTCTTCGAAAATCATGACTTCTAAAAATGCCGATATCTTTTAGTTAAGAAGTACTATGATATCGAAATTTGGTTTGGAGTTAGGTGATACTTGGACACT